TACCAACTGTATTGTTAATGTACCTGCAACTGTCAAATAATAAAGTAACCTGCCAAGTTACAAACAGTGGCTTTCTTTTTCTTTTTTTTTTTAAAAAGTATATTACTACAGTAGCATTTAAATCTATACACTTTGTTCAGCTGATACATTGTACAGTACAGGGTAGTGCCAAACCTTTCACACTTGCCAAAGAGTAACATGGCAGAAGGGTCTGCCAGGGCAGCACCAGCTACTGAGCAGGCAGTGAGCCTGGGAACTGCCCAGGGTACAAATCCTGCCCCTTCTGCTGCCATCATTCTGAAAGCTGATCACTCCATATTTCTCTCATTCCCCCCAAAACAAGATTAAAAAGCACATACTTGCTTTTTGAAAGGTGTTTTGAAACGTACAGATTAAAATAAAATTACAAATATTTTTTTCTTTCCAAGTAGCTATACAAGTAATATTTTTAATAACCTCTGTTGCCCAGACCCAGGAAGCGAGTCAAAGAAAAATAAAATAACCACAGATTGAGAGAAAGCTGGCTGCTTTAAACTCTTTGTTTAAAGGTAAGCAGAAGCAGCAATAACTGGAACAGTTTTATTCACATGAAGATTTCAGCTTTTGCAAGTGTTGTATCTCCTGTCGCTGCTATAGAACGAGGAACAGAGTGGCCTATTTTCTACTTGACTCATGCATCCCACTATTCCCTGCACTCCTGAGGAACCAACAGTGGTATCTTTTAAGCTTGCTGACTCATGCATATATCCTGCAGGTGAACTGACATCCTGGTGTAGGAACAGAAATACTTTAGAGTAGCCTGGACCCAAAGACTGATCATTCTGAAAGAGTAAAACGAAATAATTCAGCCATATACAACAAACTGCAGAATTTCCAAACCTCGTTTCATCTTCAAAATTGCCCCTTATATGCAAAGGAGATACAGGAAGTGAAAATAACTACGAACAACACTGTAGCTTAAACTGTGATCAAAGAAGTGGCAAGGAACATAACAAGGAGAGGTAAGGCATGAAACAAAACCACACTTTCCTAACCATAACTGGAAAAACTGCATTCTTTGTTTTACCAGGCAGACAGGGATATGTCCAAAAAAACAGCTAAGAACTTGACATTGACAACAGAATTGCAATCATGAGTGTTATATCACAATTTACACCCTCAAAGCCACTGGTCCAGTTCTAGTGTACACTGAAATAAACCATTAGACAGCTTATATAAATACCTACTTTCTACCCCTTCCAGACTACAAAGATATTAATGAAAGTTTCATAAACCCAGGTGCCTAATTTAGCTAAATGTGTAACACAGGTAGTACCTCTAGACCTCATCAGACCACACAAACACTACTGAAGTAAACAGAAGCTGCAGGTCCTCAATGTCTTTAAAAACTTGTTCCTGCAGTGCATGGAAATGTCACACCAACATTGTTCCAATCTGACTGTCTATTTGGGAAAAAAAAAAAAAATCTTAACTTTCATAGAAATCAGTCAGCTCACTAGAAACGTGTCCAAATGATATTCTACTCCAGGTTGAAAAAGCCAAACTAAGCTGTTACTTTGTCAAAAAACTGCTTTATGCCCAAACCATTAATGGAAATCTAAGCAATGCAACCACTTTTTTTACAAGCATTTTATCAAACAGCTTGCCAAGCTCCATATAAACACATTTTACTATTTCATAAACTTTATAGGCCAAGTTTTTGAAATGTGAAGTGACAGGCTCTCAGTGGAATTTCTGCAGAGCTACAAGGTTTTTATTGCCCTCAGGCCCCCGAGACTGTAAATTGACTATATGAATCAAGTAGCCAGAATCTCTGCCTTTTATACAGGACTGCCTTGCAAATTGGAAATACTGAAACAGCCTCTATGACCAGCCATAGAAGAATTCCTTTACACAAGACTCAAAATGCCTCAGTGATCAGCACACAATAAGTATGCACCACTGCTAGGTTTCTGTTGCCAACAGTGGAAGAAGTTTCTCTCTGTCATTAAAGACCCCTTAAGGACTAATGCTAAATATCCCCCAACTCACAGATATACTTTAGCTAGGTATTTACATAAGGAAATCATCTTATCTTCATGATTCTGGTTGTTTTCTAATTTTTCTTCTAACTTGTTCACATCCTACTTTCATCCAAGGTCCTAAAGTTACACAAAAGCAACTACGAGTGAACTCACTAATGCCATAAAAATGAAAACAAAACAAACAAACAAACAAAAAGAATAAGCCAGTTTCCAAGCTCCATGAAGTAAAGCCTCAGTTTTTACTTTAATGAGTGTTTAATGAGTACAGCTGCACGTGTGTCATATTACATTACATATCAATCTATCGGACAGCCCTGAAACTTTGCACTTCCGTTTACAAGTTACCTTTCTCAACGGCTCAAGGTCTCCCTTTGATTACTCCCAGCTCTGACACATAAGCTATCTTTTTATCATGTTTACTTGTGCTTTACTGCCATCCATTTGCATTTGTAATACTATTACTACTGTAGGCATTTTGAAGATATGTCCTCTATGGTGCCTTGTAGCACCCACGTAATTCCTGCGATTGTTTTCCATTGCACATGATGGAAATCAAACCAGTAAGTTAGAAACGGACATCAAATTCTTTTTTTTTTTTTTCATAAAACAGTAAACCCACAGCTCTGCCTTTTTTACGCTGTTCTTAAAAGGAGTAATTCTAGGATTACAATATCAAAGAACGGCAAAAAACAGTTAACTAGTATTTTTGGTGTTTTTATTATGGCTTCCTTTCATATATCTAATATATAGAGATAACAAATTAATTAAAACTTTTAAAGAAAAGAGAAAACCATGACCACTTAACCCAAAAATACTGGAAGAGTTCAGTGGCAGCTGTAATACCTGGAAAAGCTTTAATATTTCCTTTTCAAGTTAGCTAAGGTTATTCCTAAGGTTGCAGAGCAAGAATCAGAGCTCATTTCCTGGTATTTAATCCTCCACTGGAATTAGTGTGCTACCTTTCAGTTATTAATCACTTTGATACTACAGCCTTTTAACTCAGAGTTTAAATTGTCAAGTCGCGCATTAATGCAATTTACTCCTACAGAAAAATCCCTGAACTTCTCTACTAATCTAAAGCAGCAGTGTTCCATTAACCAATTCCAAAATTTTATTTAAAAGTTGTCATTTTTCCACATTCAGTCTCTTCTTTTTCAAAGTTTCAGTTGGCTATAATGGAAGGCTTTAGCCTTTAGCTTTCTGATAGAAAGGGATCACCTCTAATTTGCAAGTACATTTTATTGAACTTTACAGTATGTTCAGAACACTTCTGCAAACCCAGCCTGTGTTTGTGCACTAGTCATACTGCACAGTGAAAAAGGGCTTAATGGCTCTTCTGAAAGCAAAGGGTTGTATTTGGAACCCACACCTGGGCAAGAGCCTTGCTCAAACCCCAGGACTGCTCCCCTTCAACAACTGCACAGCAGCCAAGCAATCCCAAATTGCAATCTGAGCTCCCCATCGCTTTCTCAACCACAGTACGTGGAAGTGCATCCACGCAATATCTACCCCATGGTGCCAGCTCTCTCTTCCCCAGGGAAGGGAAGGAACCCTTGCTTAGCCAACATATGTGGACTTAATGGATGAACGATCTCTTTGGATCTCGCCACCAGCAAGGTGTTTGGGGACAAGTGTATCGTGCACTCTCGTGGGAAACTGATGGAGACACACCTCCTACACACCTGTGTGTAGGTTGCTGGGCAGAAGCTGCCAGTTCTGCCGGCAAGGAGTGTCCCAGACAGCCATCAAGCCAAGCCTGTCCGGCTTTGGCTTCAGCGGGGTACCGGGGGCTGGGACCAGACCAGGGACCAACGCGCCTCGGGAGCTTCCCGGGCCGCTCGGGCGGGAGCATCCGGGGAGCGGCAGTCGGTAGCCAGGTGCTCCTTGCATCAAACTTGTTCGCTTCCCAAGCCCCTGCGAGTTATCGAAGCAGAACGTCAAAGCACGAACGCGGTCACACAAAAGATGAAAGGCAGCGACCTGAAACACGGCGTGAAAATCCAAAGGCGACCCCAGGGCACAGCCTGCTCTCACCGCACCACCAGGGATGGAGAGTGGGAGAGGGGACAGAGCGGGACGAGGTTTAGGTTGGACATTCAGAACAATTTCTTCACAGGAAGCGTGATTAGACATTGGAATGGACTGCCCTGGGAGGTGGTGGAGTCACGGTCCCCGGAGATGTTTAAGGAAAGACTGGACATGACACTCAGTATCGTGGTCTAGTTGACAAGGTGGTGTTCGGTCATAGGTTACACTTGATGATCTCAGACGTCTTTTCCAACCTAACTGACTCTGTGATTCTGAGCAGCCGGGCACCGACCCCTGGGGCCGGAGCACCAGGGCCCGCTCCCGGCGCGGGCGGAGGACGGCCGGGCGGGCTCCGCGCTCCAGCCCCCGCGCTGCCACAAACTTTCCGGAGAGGGAGGGAGAGGAGGGGAGGGCGCCGGCGCGGGGGGGGGGGGAGAAGGGAGGAAGGAAGAGGGTACTCGGCGCGGCCCTTACCCGTCCTTGCGGCGGGCCTTGTAGACGTGCCCGTAGGTGCCTCTGCCCACCTTGCATCCCTCGTACTCGAACAGGTCCTCCACCCGCTCGCGCTCGGCCGCCAGCTTCGACTTGAACTCGTAGTCCATGTCTCGCCCATGGGCGGGGAGGGACGGGCGGGCAGGGGGACGCGGCGGCCCGATCAGCACCCGCGGCTGGAGAAGCCCCCTCCCGGCGCCGCCATGTCCGAGGCTCGGCGGGGGCGGCGGGCGGGGGGGGACAGGGGGCGGTTTGTTTTTGTTTTGGTTTGGGGCTTTTCGGCGGGGGGGGGGAGGGGGCGCGCTCCGCCGCCGCCACCCGCTTCAACTGGGCTCCTCGCGGCGCGGCGCGAAGTCTGCCGGGAGTCGTAGTGCGGCTGCGGGCGCCTGCCCCGCCGCCGCGGGCGGGAACGCCGCGGCGCCAGAACTACAACTCCCGGCATGCCCCGGGAGGCATCGGGCGGGCGGCGTCGGCGCACTGCCCTCCCCGGAGACAGCGGAGCGTTTCAGCGGCCGCCGGGAACTTGCTGACTCTTCACATTGCGGTCAGAGGCGGGAGCGGCGAGCGCGGCCGTACGCGGCGCCTCTGGCTGGCAGGAAGGGACGGAGGGATGTAGGGCGGAAAGGACGGAGGACACGGACCCCATGCTGTGAGGCGCTGAATAGTGCGGCAACTTGTTTATCTCGCCAGCTGCCACTCACGGCTTGGCCCCGTCCCCCTGCAGGCTGTTGCCCTCTGATTGGTCGGGCCGCCCCGCCGTGCCGTGGGTGGGGCGGGGCCGATCCCGGCCCCGGGGGCTGTGGAGCGGCGGGTCCATGTTGGAAACGGAATTCTCAGAGGCGCAGTAGAGCCAGGTGCTGCTAAGTAAACCGACCGTTCATAGGTGTATAGGGGAGGATACAGCGTTTGCGCTCAGATACAACCCAGGCGTGTTGTTGAGTCTTTATGCTCCGATGCCACAGCAAGGCTATGCCCCTTCAGCCCCAAGCAGATTTTTAGACAAAACGCGGCGTTGCTGTGAGGTTCAGATTTCATGCAAAGTATTTTGAGATCGCAGAAACATTCAAGCCACTTAACATTTATGTCTCGGCCCTTCAGGGATATTTCTGTGAAAAGCATCACTCTGAGCAAGCATATTTGCATTGTGGAAGTGCCACACAGAGCTAAACAAATACGAAGAATCACAAAAACCCCACAGAATCGATTAGCTTGGAAAAGACCTCTGAGATTATCGAGTCCAGCCTGTGACTGAACATCACCACGTGAACTAGATGATGGCACTAAGTGCCACATACAGTCGTTCCTTAAGCACGTCCAGGGATGGTGACTCCACTGTCTCCCTGGGCAGCCTATTCCAATGTCTAATCACACTTTCTGTGAACAAATTCTTACTAGTGTCCAACCTAAACCTACCCTGGCACAGCTTAAGACTGTACAGTCTTGTCTTATCACTAGTTACTTGGGAGAAGTAGTCGACCCTCTGCTAGGTACAACCTCCTTCCAGATAGTTGTTGAGAGTGACAGGGTCACCCCTGAGGTGACCTTACACAACCTGAAGGTTACATCCTGGCCTAGAAGCAAGTGACAATCCCCACCTTGTGAATTCAACATTAGAGTACAACAGTCAGCAGCAAGCGAATGAAGCAGAATTAAATTAGTGGAGGGGAGAGTACAAATGGAAGCTGTCCATATACAGGAACGGTCTTGATTCATCACCTGCCCAGCCAGCGTTAGTTACCTCAATAGAAAGTTTTTCCACATGCCACATGGGAGGGGTGGAGGAGCTGAGCTGATGAGAAGCTGTCATTGCTGACAAAGCCCAGGGAGATGTCAACTGCACGATCATGCTATATATGATTACTGGTGCATATCTAAGTCATGAGGTCATAACCAGAAGTTTGCTTCTCAGGGAAAGGCAGGAGTGTAACCATTTTGAGGTGATTATTTCTTCCAGAAGGCAATAGATGATTCAGAATTTCCCTAGTGCCAGGTAACTAGCAACCCAAATTCTCAGAAAATTTCATCACTCCTTTACCAAAATAGTATTTTGCAGAGAACTGCAAGTGCTTTTCTCAGCAGTTGCAGATGTGGATATTTCTGAACAAGGCCCGATTGTGAACTGGCAATTTTCCTAAACAGGAGGAAGAACAGCACTGATCTTTCAGTGTCAACCTTAAAGACATTTGCTAAAATTAGAACTCACCATTTAAAATTTTGCAAAGCATTCACATCTTTGGTCACCTAGAATTCAAAGCCAACACTTAAAAGAAAGCAACACAGATTGAAAAAAAGCAAGCTTATAGGTGTAAAAAGTTACTCTACCCAGACATATTCAGCTAGTTTTGACATCAACAGGAATAAGGACTGCCTTGCTGTTGGTAATAATAAACTCTTCAAGCATTGCCCTCTTTGACCAAAACAATAGCCATTATTGCCCATTTTCACCACTAAGGCTTTTGTTTTTACCATGTACTGACAAGACTGTCTTTATTATAATTCCTTGTAAGTCCATAGCCCTAGTGAAAGAGGGCTAACCTCACCCCCCATTTTGGAAGCCCACCTAGGCTGGCATTTGTAAGCCAAGGCAGCTTAATTTCCCCTATACCCTATACTGTACCCTAGTGTTGCAAGCAACCATTTTATCCCTTCTTCCATAAAGTGACTGTGCTTTGCCAGTAAATGTTTTGGCCCTTGCTGCTGCTCCGAAGGAGAAGCAGCAGCAGCAAGCAGCCGTTTATGGAGCAATGACAGTAAATCATCTGAGAGAAAGAAACAGAACAGTACTGTGACATTTCCATTGCTCTTCTAAGTTAGTAGAATGTTGTGATATTGCTGATATGTATTTAATAGCATTCACTTTCTAAAAAAGGTGTTTAATTTTATTACTTCTGGTCAGAAGATAAATGACCGTAGCATTTTTAATATGCAATACCCTCTCATTTGTTTAATTGTGCTGATACAGAAAGTCTAAGTAGCACCAGCAAAGAAAACAGAAAATTACAGGCTTGCAGAGTGCAAGCAGGATTTTTTTCAGCCTGCCAGCCTAACTGAAGATGCCTGGTTGTCACTCAATAGAATCACCATTTCCTCCAAATCTCAAGTCACTGAGGTTAAATAGTGCCCGGATTGTTGGAGGTGAAAGGTTTTTTAAACAAGACTGAAAGTTGAGGAATTGAATATTCTCACCAGTTCTCTAAAGAGATCTCCAAGACAAATAAGACATGAACTTCTAATGTAAAAAGGAAGAATTTGGTCTGTAATACTTCAGTGTCAAGAAAGTGATGCATACAGACCATTTTTCTTCTTTGTAGATTGCCTTGCACTTAAAATACATTCCTATTTTCTTTTCAACTTGCTTCATGGGCAGTCTCTTATAGTTCTCTCTTCATGTATTAGTGAGACCAAAAAATAGGTGGTGGGGTTTTTTAACTCTTCTAGGCCACATCTGGAAGTAGTTGCACCTTTTCTTAACTCACTCTCTTTGTAAGCTTTTACTTTTAATCTAGTGGGAATTTTTTGATTCTTAGGGATCAAGGCAGCAGTTTTCCAGTAGATCTTGAGTGGAATATGAATAAACATGGACACTCAGTGTTCACTTATGTCAGTCACATTTAAAACAAACGTTGCTTCATTCAAGAGTGAAAGGATGCATGTCAGGAGTCTGAAGGATACAAGCAGAGAAAATTTAGAATGAATAGAGGTCTAACACGAACTATACTTTCATCTCTACAGAAGCAGAGAAAAACAGTTCTATTCCAAAAAATATAGAAATATACTTGGGATTTTTAAACATATTAGTGTGAGAGTGAGAAGAGCCCAGTGAAAGTGGGACAGTATGCCAGAGGATTTCTAATAGAAATAGATTAGAAAGTCTTCAACTGGCTGTAAGTTCATATGTTATCATTCCCAGTAAAACTCTGAATTTTGGAATCTTTTATGTCAATTAACTTCTAAACTCCTGTAGTAAAAGTATTAACCTTATTATATAGGTTTAAAAACACAGTACATAACTGGGGGTGTTCTCTCAAGATTTTACAGTAAATCTAAGGAGCATGCTCGGAATGGAGGGAGTGCTGAATGCTGCACTCATGGTATAATTATTTCACTGACTCTGTTTTGTTGGGGATTTTTTAAATTCATTTTTATCGTGCCATAATCCAAATAGTACTAAACCAGAAACCTTGTGCTGTTTTTCTTGAGTGTAATCCAATAACCTGGTCACAGAAAAGTCTGTACTACTTTACACTGTATTTTTTTCTTGAGAAAAAGAAAACCGTCACAAAAGCTATTCCCCATCTTCTCTTTGCAGACTGTCAAGAGTGAACAGTTACCTGAAAAAACCAAGGTAACTCAGCATTCAGCAATTAAAAAACAGTGGGAGACAGCAAAGTAAAAGTGAAATAATCCTGTGTTACTCAGTGTGCCATACTTCATCATTATGCCACTATACCTCAACCTTATTGCTGATCAACTAGTGTAATCACATGTATATCTTTCTTAGGATATCCACTTATTCCCTGTGAATTGTAATGCAAGATGCACGAACTTATTTCATTTGAGGAGCAGCATGCAATATTGTGGATTGGCTTCAGTTTGACAGAAAAAAAAAAAAAACAAATCAGAGGATACAATTAACTAATGCCTTTGTGTTCACATTTGAGAACCAGCATAACAGCTGGTTTAGACAGCAAGCCAATACCTCCAAAGCAGAGATTTAGAGAAAGCCTGGAATTCCAAAAATGTTGAAGTTGCCCATAATTATGGAGAAAGCATAAACTCTTATTCTGAATATAGTAGTATAAAATTTCATCTTTTGGAGCTGCACAGTCAGTGTAACTGAGTTGCCTTGTCTTTGTTGGTATACATGATTTCAATATTCCTGCATTGTCAGCATACTCATTCTAACACCACCATATTCCATCTGTGGTATCTCCTTGACTGTCGTTAAAGTTTTCAGAAGTTAAATAATACTAAACTTTGCTGTAGAATCCACTGGAAAGGACAGTAGCATGTCATAAAAAAAGGAAAGATGTTGCTTTAATTATCTTTGAAGGATATAAAAGAGAATACATCAAAACTGCTCTGTCTGATAGCTTTCTGCAGTTAGATTCAGTCCTACAGAAGTAGAACTCTGCTAAACAGATAACCTGAACTGCATCAAGTTTTACTCTTATGTTTTCAATTTTTTCCTTGGATATAGTATGTTTTATACCACTGTACTGGCTGAATCCTAAATACAAGCTACAGCTACAGAACAGCATTCTATGACAGGTCTATAGAACATATGTAATTTATACATACAGAGCTATTATTCTTTAGTGTTGCTCCTAGCCAAACAGATTGTGGTTAAAAGTGTTTTCAACACTAAATGTTCAAAAGGGTGGTAATGAATCTTCTTTGGGTAGGAGACATAGGACAAGAAATAACAAACATCAGTTTTACCAAGTGAGATGTATATATAGGAAAACCTTTGAGTGATAAAGACAATTATGTAATGAATTGTCTGAAGATACTATGCAATCGTTAGATTAAAATTAAAATCATGAGATATTTTTAAGAAAATATTAGATCAACCTCTGTCAGAAATTTTGTAGATAAGGTAGCATTAATATAATAAGAAATTAGATTTCTTGTTTTTCTTTCTGTCCTTATTTTCCCATGTCTCTTCTATTCTGTGTGATATAAGAAGAACCCTCAGTTCATGGACTGACCAGTTAAAAGAAAAATACAAAAGATGAAAATAAACCATGAGTTCTCATGACAGAAGGATTATTCCACAAGGATTCATACCTAACACTTAAATGTTCACAGTTCATAAGTGAACCAGGAAAAGGCATGAATGACGACGTGACAACATTTGAGGAATGTATCTAATAATTCAGATCTAAAGTTGATTGAAAAATACTGCAAGAGGCTTCCACGACACTGTGTGAGTAGTGGTAGTTGAAAAGCAGTGTTCTAAAATGCAGTGTAATGCACATGGGGGTTAAAACATACAGACATGATGATGAACTCTAAAAGCTAGTATCAGCCAGGAAAAGCCTTAAAGTCACTGTGAGTAGTTCTCTGAACAAAGGTTCAGTGCTCAGAAGTTATTAATAGCACAAGAAAGGTAAACTTTTTTAAGAAAAAGATAACAAAACATAATGTAAAGCACATTTAGATTACTCTGTATATAACTGTGGTGCACTACTTGTGTGTTGCTTTCCGTTCTAGTTACCCCATCTCAAAGCCATATAGAAGGACTACAGTAATATTCAGCATTGGATGATCAAAACTCAGAAAATTGAAATGGCAAAATGAGGGGACAAAAAAATTCGCAGCTTTTAAATACAAAATACTACCAATGTCTTAGCAAGTCTGCAGGACTCAGATTACTGGAAGATGGGAAGGCATACATAAGGGATTATTGGTACCTCCTTCCCCTTTTTGGATATTTTTTTATCATATGCTACATGGGCCTGTGGTCTCATCTACTACAGCCATTACTATAATCCTATGAGGACAGGCTAAATACATTTGTTAGCTGGGAAGATAAGTGATTGGGGGGGTGATAAACAGTACAAAATAAATTTGAGAAAAAAGGCATATTTAATGAATACTATGTCATTTGCAGCTATTGTATACAATAGTCCACAGGAAACTTCCAGCTCAGGAATTCACTAGAACATAGTTTGTTAGAATCTGAGGAGCTATGCTAACAAAAGAAATAAGTGATCAAAGAGTTGAATTCCTCCTGCCTGTGAATGATTTTGTAAAACTCTGGTGGAATTAGATTTAGAAAACCTAAGAACTCCTATACTGAGAGGCTCAATATGTTACTGAAGTTCTGGTTTTCTTATTTCCGCCCTAATTTTATCATTTTCTAACTCCATCTGTGCCTCAGTGGCAAAATCCTAAATTATCTAGATTCCAGAACTGTATTTACCATCAAATAGGAAATGACAGCATTGGCTGCTGGCTCACTATGCTGAAGAAGTTGAGCAACTCTGAACTTTAAAAGAAAGCCAGATGGTCTAATGAGATCAGGAACCAGGAGTTCCATTGTCCTGCATGGTTCTATTTCTTAGGGCACCAGGTTTTCTACCTGCAGTGCAAGGCAGAATACTTCCCCATCCTTAGGAAAACTTTTGGATTAAAGTACTACTAAAACTATCACTTAGCTTTACTAGCTATGTCCATCGAACAGTAAAAAATTTGCTCTCAGCCAAATTTCAGTCAGCCTAAAAAAACAACTCAACAAAATCTTTTTGTACTTTGTGCTACAATATTGCCAGTACAACTCAGAAGAAAAGAGATTATCCTGAGTCAAATTCCTATTGATATTTCCATATATAGAAAAGACTTGGGCACTGAGTTTTAAAGAAAAAATACTTTTTAAAGCCTTGCCAACACATGTCAAAAATTTTATTGTCAAATCCCTACAGTGCTTCTGGATGGGTAAAGTATCAAGGAGAAGGTGACTGTGACTTTAGCTTCACAGAAGATGCAGAAACAAGAGTAGATGCAAGGGAAGTATGGGGATGATGTTTCCACAATCACTAGCTGCTCTTACTACAGAATGTGAATGCCCTTGCTGCTGATTAACTTCATACTGCTAACTTCTGTCTTATCCTTACTCCAACTTTACACATAGACACTGAGTGTCTATAGGGGCAATCAAAATTGTTAAATCAATGCACCTAAGATGAAGTGTGTTCAATTGCCACCTTAATGTTTCTTTGAAGGATAAAGTGTCCTTGATTCCCGGTAGCCTCTGATGGTATGTTGTGTCTGGTTGGAATGGGGTTAATTTTCCTCACAGCAGCCTGTATTGTGGTGTGTTTTGGTTTTGTGACCAAAGCAATGTTGATAACACACTCATGTTTAGCTATTGCTGAGCAGTGCTCGCACAGCATCAAGGCCTTTTCTGTTTCTCACTCTTCCCCCGCAGCACGTAGGCTGACATGAGCTGACCAAAGAGATCTTGCATGCTGTGTAACATCATTCCCAGTTATGAAACTGGGGGGGGGGAGGGAGTTCTTGCAAAGTTGCCATTCCTTGCAGACTGGCTGGGCTTCAGTCTGTGGTGGGAGGTGGTGAGTGAGTGCCATTCCACTGCTTACTTATTTTTCTTCCTCCTTTTTTCTTTTATTGACTTATGAAACTGTCTTTGTCTTGACCCATGCTGCCTTCTTGCTTTTGCCCTTTTGGTTTTCTCTCCCACCCCACCTCAGGGTGAGTAAGTGAGCAACTGGGTGGGTGTTTAGTGGCTAGCCAGCATCAACCACCGTCCATAGGAAAGCTGAATGAGAAGGAAGTGGGATGCATCTTACAGACTAATTGCTTTGCCATGGCTCCCTTCTTCTATGCTGCATGTGGAAACTACCAAATCCCTATGTTTCCCTTCTACCCTAGGGACTGGGTAGAAGAAGTCACGGTTTATTTTGGTTTTCCCATCTGCTGGTGTCAGCAAGAAGGTAGTATGGATCTCAAAAGGATTAACAAACTGGTAACAGCTCCTGTTGTGTGAACCAGCTGAACAAAATATGCTGGTTCTTCCAACCTCTAATGCAGGCATAGGTAACCTATTGCTCTTAAACGACATGAAGCTCATATGTGGCTTCTGCAAGAGCTATACCATATGCTGGATAGCAGGCAGTGCAAGTATGGAAGTTCTGCACCTTCTGCGTGTCCAGCTCTCAGAAAGAGCAAACAAACTGAGGTCACTGAACCCAAAATTCCCCTGCCACCTTGGACCCACTCTACTCTCCAGCAGAATCCTTAACAACAGCCTATGATGCCAATTTAGAATTTGCTCTCTCTTTAGCTTGATGAGATGTCACATGAACTTGAGCTTTCATTTCTCATCTTCCTTAATCTCAAACAGTTCTGTTTGATTCTGCACAGCTACAGTCTGATATCATGACAGCCAAACCAAAATCTTCCTCTGAATGAAGTTTTCGTACCCTTGGGTAAACCTTTGGTAAAACAGGCTCCTCTACCTATCCTGTGATTTCTGAGGAACTGTATAAATTTGAATTTTACGCATGCCTGAGCTTTTCAGGACTGTCTGGAAGCAAAAAACACAGAAAGGTTGGGTTGTTTGTTTGTTTGTTTGTCATCTCAGAATAAGGAGACTTAAATTTTAGGAAGTGAATTTAATATGCTCTTTAAATGGATCTTCAGTAGTAAGTTAATAGATAAATGTTTATCCCAAAATCTGTTCCAAACTACATTTTTAGCACTGGAAGAAATACATCATATGTGTTTCAGTTCTTGTGTCTATGAAGTAGGAACAGTCATATTTAGACATCATTAATCGGACTGCCTCAAATCTAATTGGTAACTATGAGTATTAATTATTACTTTATTGTTATTTTTACTTCATTATTAAAAAATGATAGTTTCCAGTGCAAACAAAATTTTTTTCATATAACCTATCAAGTCCATCACTTGCAATAGATTGTTTGGCATAAGACAAAAGCCAGGAGCTGTAACTTTAGCATGCTTGTTACAGAAGCAAGCATGCTTGAAATAGAAATAATTGTGCTATCAGTGGTAACAGAAACAATAGCAGTAGACTGGCATCAGATTACCAATTTGTTTTCAGTGGTGAATTCCTGAACACTATGTGGTGAACTGGATGCTTAAGGAAAAGAAGACAAACTAAGATAATTTGTTGAAATGGTGACCATTGTGCTGGTTATGCTAAGAATCTATTCTAAATGCCAAGCTCACTTCAGTCTGCTTAATTTTGATGAGTTGCTTTTGATTCTAATCATTCCCAGGTAGAGATCAAGTTGTTCTCTTAAGAACTGTCTGAAATGAAGCCCTAACTTCTTTGGATCCGTGTCCCATTCTTCATTCTGTCCTGGTGTCCACACCTCAGGTTCCCTGCCCATCATTAATCTTCCCTTCCCCCAGTGTCCACAGCTCCCTCCTCCTGCCTCCCAGCTACCAGCTGGATGAGAACCAAGGGGACGTGGCTGCTTTTCAGCCGGGCATGTGCTGGCTGCCAGCAAACTCAACATAATAAACAACCTTTGAGCTCAGGCAGCAGCCTTTCATTCACAGTAATAATTTCAAGGAAGTAGTCTTCCTTCACTAAGCTGTTATGTTTCTTAAAACTTGGAGGAATTTCATAGCCTGAAGTTTTCTATTTCTGAGCCAAATGTAACTGAAATGATGGATTGAAAAGTTATTGGATTGAGTCTGACAAGATGGGTAGGCAAACAGTATATCACCTAAGCCCTCTTTCCTGAGGCTTACAATCACAGAGAAATACCCTTTGACAATGTAATAGATACAGTTCCCAGTAGTTTATAAATAAAGTTTAAGGATGGAAGGTCTGGGCAATACGCAAAATATTGGTCTGGGGTGTTTCCATACCATTTACAATATTCAAGGGAAATCTCCAAAGTCATTTAGTGGTATCAGAGCAGAAAAACTAAAGTGGTTTTGATTTATTTAGATTTATACAGAAATTAGTAGAGACTGGGATCACATTTCAGGAGCTAGGACGTGTCTTTTTTAACTGTCTCTGCTTCAGCAGTTAGGCATCATTTCCCAAACAAATATAATTGTAGTTCCTTGTCAGAACCTAGGGAGGATTATTTGTAAATTAAAATAAAAAAAAAAAAAAGAAAAAATATTAACAGGTACATTCTATACAACCCTACTGAATGCAATATTTTCACTGCCTTTAGGACCTCCTGCATATGAAAGATCTTCTACATAAACATCCACAAATGAGAATCATATGCAATGTGTGTATGACTGTATATTCTGCTTTTATTAAGTGCATTCTTTTTTCACGTTTCCAATATCCTAGATTGTATCTTATCGAAATTCAGATACCAAAAGAACTGGTTTTGGCATAGTGAAGGTAACATGATACCTGTTCTAAAGTCTGATAAAATTGCGTGCTTTATTTTGTGTGTAATTTCTTTTCCTTGATATCACTTGAGTATTGATACCACATGTCATCCTTATCCCTTCAAAAACATATAAAAAGTGAGGGGTGAAAAAAGGGAAAAAAAAAAAAAAGCTGAACACAAATTCACCCTGATATGACTTTGGTGGAAGGAAGACAAAGACGTGCTGAACTCAGTGTCATTACTGATGAATTTATTTATGACTGTCAATAATTCAAATTGCATTGAAAGTATGTCAGCTCCCTGAAATGGTAGGAAAATCCACCTAGTGTCAAAAATATGTTTAAGAGGAATTTAAGGTCTGAAAACAATCTGTGGTCATACCAATTCTGGATAAACTGAAAATAGAAGAGCAAATTTGGTGAATTACTGATGAGGAAGTAATATACAGTGACTGTAGCTCATATTGGTCAGGCACCAGGGCATGTAATATGTGTTCACATAGAAAGGAGGTAATAGAGAAGGTCTGTACATCTATATGAGAAACAATATTGGAAATAAAGACAAAATATGGAAGAAAGCCCCAGAATATGGGGAATTTGATTTCCCAGCTCAAACTGATCATGTATCAAAAGCAAATTTAAGTGCTGTGCCCTGACCGCTGCAGAGCTTTTAGGAGGCAAATCATGTAAAATCCCCTTCAGGAGCTCTTTCCTGCATACAGAAGCTATATGGACTTATTTCACGCACTATTAACCAAACAAGTTCAATTTTTGTGTGTGGTTTCTCTTACATTGATTTAGAGCTATTTTTATCTGTTTGGTTTATGACTGTACATTTAGACAATAAGCACAAATAAAGTTTGCAAACAGTTGCTCCATCCCGAGTTGTTACTCCTCCCTAGCCCTTTATCACCGGTTTTTTGCAAACATTTCGCCCACAGTTCTGCCAGCCCAAATGGGCCCCTCCATGCCAAGGAAACTGGTGAACAACCTCCAGCGAAGTGTCCAAGGAGATGAACCATGGAGCACCTACACAGCAGGTGTGGGTGCAGTAACCTGCTGCTGGATGGTGACAAGCAATGAGACACTGTATCTTCATCAGTTCCAGCTATGTCAGGAAGGAAACATCAATCTGCTGCCCTGCTGATGGCTAAACCAGTATAAACAGATCTAACCATGCTAAACCCTTGACTGCACACAACCATGTGTACTATACTTGCTATATTGATTTGAAAATCAATGATGCTAAGTGGGTAACCCCCCTGTGTAAACATATTTATAGCACTCTAAAGGATTTTTTCCCACCAGTGTGATATTCCTATAAATTTATCTCTAATACCATTTTATCTAATACCAATTTTATCATAATCTACAGCATGAAGTAGTGTTGCATCCTGAGCCAATATATAAGCATTAAAGATGAGTATCTTATCTCTATTTATAATCTCACAAAGCTGTTTTAATTTAATCTTATCTAATTACACTGCAATGTAAAATAGTGCAATTTTTAAGTAGTTTAGGAGGCCTTTATTAGCCAAATGATACAAAAGGAATAACAAAAAAACTACTGAGCAGGGCCAAATGAAGCTGTAGCATAGCTGGGAGGGTTGGGCTGCAGGTTATGTTATTCCCATGCCATGTGACATGGAATGAGCAACTCTGAGGTGTGCTGGTAGCCCCCACTGTAGCCAGGTCTCTTGAGTGCCCTTTTGTCGTATTTGAAAGGATATAACTTCAAACCAAGTAAAACAGCAGAATAAATAGATAACTTCTGATATTAAAATCCTTCAGTCACTGTATTTATTACAAAATACGCAATATATTTTTAAATTATACCCCTTATTTTAAAAATATTTTTCTTGAGAAACCCTGCCAGAAGTCATCATTACTATATGCAAATATATATTTAATGCATAAATACATAAAATTATTATACTGTTCTGATCATAAGATTGCATTAACATGGCTAAGGCTGCTTACCTGCTTTGATGCTTCTATCTGTACATTGGCTTTGTGCATGTAACTTTCAGGTGCAGTTTAGCACTATGCCTTCTGCATGTTCACATACCATCATAAAGGTGTGCTCTTCCCTTTCCTTTCACATGTCTCAGTAAGTCCTCAGAACTTACTGCCCTGCTGAATGAAGTGAGTTGTAAAGCTGTGTACAAGCAAAACAGACCTGGAGAACCAATAGTTGCAGGCAAGTAATGCACCTTTGAGCACTTACCAGTGCCTGTGGCCCCGTGGTGGGCAAGTCAGCCACCTAAATTCCTAACAGAGTTAAGAACTGAATGAGAGTCTTCTCAAAGGCAACAGTCAGAGAGACTTCAGAAGTGGTTCAATACTTGGTCAAAGCTCCACTTAGGCACTCCACATGTCTTAGGAACGCAAATATTTTGCAGCACTCTGATCCTGGTAGGAGGTTCCTTCTTTGTAATCTTAAAACTAATCCAAATCCAATCATTTTATACTCTAGGATAATTTCTGCATTAAAATAGCAAACTCATATATTTTTCTTAGCCAGCAGATTTGAAGCTGAAGTAATTCTGAAATCTCCACTGTAACTTATATATATATATTATATATATATATAAAAGAAATGGCCTGCTAATATAAAAAATAGCAAGACTGGGATACAGAGGCAAGAAGATTCATTCCTTAATTTAAGTTATATACAGCATTAAAAAAATTTTAGATGAGACTTAAGAAAGATGGTACATTAAGACATTAATCCATCTACTATTTCTAGCCAAGATTTAGTTTCCTGGAATAAAAACATTTTGACAGACAAGTACCAAAAAGAGGTGTCAGGAGCTGATATCCTGATAATGATGGTATATTGTATAAGGGCATCCCATATTAGGGGCAAATTCTGGGACTGCACGCTGACAGACATAATAATTACTTAATCCTGCTGGAGTTAATGGGATTATGGCTACCCTTCCCTCTTCTTCCATTAGAATAACCTTGTATAAGAGACAGTTTGATGGAAGATGTACATGTTTCCCAGCTCAGGAGTCAGAAACCCGTGAGGACCCTGAAGACAAACTACCTCTGAAGCAAAAAAACTAGCACTTCCTATTAAAAGTCAAGACACAAAGCAAACTTGATGTACACCCTGTCTCAGAAAAGATTTGATAAAACATGGCTCCATACCTCTCAGCAGGTCACAACAACCGGACCCTTCTGGGTGGATAAGCTGCAGTAGGTCCCATTGTCCCTGCACTCTCTTGCATAGTAGAGGCCACCTTGCACCATCACTGTTGTTGATAGAAAATAAGGGAGTGGTATATCCCTTTTTTTTCCAAAACATATGATCTCAACTCCTGGCACAGAGCATTTCACTTGTTCCTCACTGCCCTGAGTTCAAGCAGATAAATATGTGGCTGTGCTGTACCAGGTGCAGACCCTGCACCTTCATATTATCTCAATGAGATGCCTATCCGCTACTGCTACTGCATTTATGCAGAAAATGTGGGAACCCTCAGCAGCTGGTCCCAGGTGTGTCCCCCTCAGACTTGTAATAGTTTGCATGAAGTCTCACATACTGTGTTAAATCAGTACAGGGAGCGACATGCCCCAGAAGAGCTAAACAAATCCAATGCTCAGACCGCCAAATTTATGTACAGGCTTTGCCATTCCTTGAAAGAAGTCATGTTGGAGGCAGGGTTTGACAGGAATATAGTTTGTTGTTTAACTGATAGACTTAAGGTTTGCATGAGAGCCAGTTGTGACTTTGAGAAATTTAGCATGAAATACAGAGAATAAGGGGTTACTCATCCCTATTGCTTTTTGAACCAATGTAGCACCTGAGCTGTGAGTTGGCATAGTCCCCCTCTTATCAGTTACCATTACATGGCAAAATTAACCACCTTAGTCTCGTACTAACAATGCTACTTTTGTATTATGTTTATTGCATTATCTTATATATTGTTCATAATCATGCATACTCTTGCTTTTTTTTAATACTGATGTTTTCCATTAAATGCACTTGTGTCATTTTAAAAAATCAATAGCCGTATTATCTTCAGATCGCCTCATGTATTGTGGCACTGTAAGAAACGAGGTGTTGGAAATAAAATGTTAAGCCACCCAAAGCCACTGCAGTTAATCATATTTAACATCTGACTAAACTAGGCTCACTCAGAGCTTTTGGTAGAGTCCTGCTTAAGCCATTCTGTTGTATTATGTGAGAGGCCATTAATAGCTGCATTTGCTATTAAAACTGGATGTAGTTCTAAGAAGCCAAAGGCCCTGTTCAAGTTTAGGAATATTTTGTATCTTTCATTTCTCTGGTACAAAAGGTCTTGGAATGGCTTACCATTTGTTTTTCTGTGACCTACAGATAGACTACTGATCATAAATCTATTTGCTTTTAATTAGTATATCATCATGAAAAGCATATGAGAGGAGACTGGAGAGAGTACATCCTGCTGGTCAACCTCCCTAGTGCTGAGTTGCTTTTTATTTACTCTCTTGAACCTGTAATGAAAATGCACATACTCTACTGCAATTAAAGTCTTAACTTTCGTCATCACTATTCTTATTTCCACCACAAAACTGATGTGAAAACTCAGCTTTTGTGTTGCCTGAATAACATAATTCCCCCAACAACTCACACTTGAAGTGGAACAAAAACCCCAACTCTGAAGAGCAAGAAGAGAGCAGAGTATTAAGGCAGGGCAGGCACCAGTGTGGAGAGCCAGGTTTTTTATGAAACACAGTGGGATTAGAGACAGATTTCCAGAGTCGAGTACATCAATGAAAGGGGACAGAAGCTTAAGGATGTCCTACTGCATATTACTTTAAAAGGTATGCTTTTTCCTTTGTGGCAATGCTTGAACTTGACTTTTTTTCCTCTTGAAAGGAACAGCCTTTTCTTTTCTTCTATGGCTTAGCATAAGAAAGGAAGAGGCTTTTAATGGTAGCTTGCTTTTCTTCAGCTTTCAGACAAGGGAAAAATTCTGACTTCCTCAAAATACATATTTTGCCCATAGAAAAATGGCCTTTTTATCTTCCTGGATTCTTTTTGATCCCTCCACACAATTTTCTTAGGTTCTCATACTTTTCTTCACTCCATGAACATATGCCCTTGGGTCATCCCAGTACATATGATTGGGAACCTGCAAGTGTGTATACCTGGGCCTTTGTCACTGCTGGGGACATTACAATGGTCCTAACCACTGCTTCCTGTACTAAGTTTGACACTGACTACACTGTTCCAGTCCTCGTACTTTAAGATCCCCTACATCAATTCCCTCTTTCATAGGACTCATAGGCAATCCCCAGCAATTTAGTGTCCCTGCAGCAATGCCTTTACCCAGGGCTAGCTGTTTGGAAGGGGACAGAAATTCCTGCAGTCTCGGGAATTTCCAAAGTCCTTCTCCTTCCTGTTACCAAGCAAAGCTAACAATCTCTTCTTTGAGGGAAAGTCCTAGAAAACTGCAGCCTCTATGATTGCTGAAGGACTGATGCAGATTAAGGGGGAAAATGGGTTAAAGAAGAGAAAATACACTTCCAGAGCTTCTTTATTGCACAGAGAATGCTGACCAGGAGCATATACGGTAAATGGAGAAATATCCTGGGGAGATCACAGGAAAAATCGTGTTGCAGAAAAACATCATGCTTCAGTAAAAACAGAAAGGCAGATAGGTGCATCTGTTATCAATCAGCCCCTTAGACAACAAATTAAGGAGTCATGGAGCAAAAGAAAAAAGCCTTCCTTCAGGTTCAAATTCCTTCTTGGAATTTCTCAAATGTCCATGACTGCAGAGCTATAATTTCCAGTCCTCCCTGAGAACAGTAGCTATTGCCACTTTCCTTACCAGCCTGACTACCCAGCCAGGGAAAACAGCAAAACTTTGACTACTTGTACAGAAACCATACTGGCTCGCTGGGAAAAGACACAGTTGCCCTAGCAGGACATTAACAGGTTTAGCCCATTAATCTAACAAGCCAAACAGTGTTGAGAAATTCCTGATCACTACATACTCACTCACTGGTTTTTGTTTATTTGCTTTCAATAAGGATATTAAAATTACAAAATTAACTTCCTGTGAAGTTGTCTATAGTACCAATTTGGCTTTTCTCCCTGAGAATGGAAAATTGCAGAGTACATTACCAGTGTGCTGAGTGTTCATATACTAATGTTAACAACAATCATACCCCAGCAATTTCCTTAGCATAAGAATAGGTTTGCTTTGTAATGAGAACGCTGACTAAATAGCAGAAGTTTCTGTAAAAACACTTGCATTTAAAGCTTGACCACATGTCCCTGTACAACACAAGCTTGACCACATGTCCTTGTACAACATCCTTGTCCTCAGGGTTCTCAGTTGTGACTCCCAGCTCCCTCCTCATAACTAGCTGCCCTGATAGCCATGCACCTCATCTCTAACTCCAGACAGTCTCACCTACCTCGCCCTTTACTTGTCTTTCCTAACTGAGTGCAGGCAAGGTGGTTCCTGCCATTTACCCTCTGGCAATGTGCTCCCTGGCAGTTCTCAAAAGGAAAGGGGGCCCTGAAGTGATGAATTTCTGGGAGCAGGGAAAGAGCATGAGGGAACCTCAGAGAGACTGTTCTGGCCATGTAGTGAGTGCATACACATTAGAATTTTGATTTTGATCTTATGTTCTGCAGGTCCATTCCTAGCAGTGTGCACTGCAATCATGTTCGTGGCAGCAAGAGGAGGAGCATCCAGAAGTACCTTGCATCTGTGCTGTATGTTCTCTTTGCTTCCAAAGTGTGTTCTTATGCTCCTGGATACTTCCAAACCCTCCTCCAGCCTCTGGACTTTAAACTCAAACCAAGGAGAATTCAGTAATGAACGTAGTTAGTTTGAAACCGATTACTGTTTCCAAGGTCAATAATGGTAAAACAGCCCTCCTGAGAACACAACTCTGCCAGGATCTTACCTTTCCCTTAACCAAACAGTGCCACAGAAATTAATCAGATGTTTGCCTACTCAACCTACCAATCTACTGCCATGCTTTCTCTATTGCTTAAAGCAGGCCTCACAAAACCTGAACTAAAAGTATGCAGCAGTTACAACAACCTTATTTCACTCAGACCAGGCTTAATAGGATGTGTTGCTTCTGAATTTTAAGTAAATTATTCAAATTCACTTTTCATTTGCTGAAACAAAGGTTGAATCTCTTCTTTTTGGTTTCGGCATTTGGGAAGCGAAGGCCAAGTTTCATTATCCATGCTTCAATAAAAAACAAAGAAAAACATTTCCTGTGAGTACTGCATATCTTCCTTGATCAGCCAAGGTTTACATCATGGACAAATATGCCCATTTGTATTCAGAAGATGCAGACTCAGTATGCATCCAACCTATTTCCCTACCACAACTTCATCATCCTCCGCTTCAGATTCCTCTGTTCCCCGGGCACCACCCTGATTCATAATCTCAAGAAAGTAGGAGATGCTTGATGATCTTGCAGACCTGCACAACAACTGTTTTCACTGTGGGTTTTCCAGCCCAATTGATTGCCCAGTGTCTGGTAAGCATTGCTAGCTAACTTCTAGAGCATGAATGCTATTTGCTTATCTGTCATCAGAGTGGCTCTCCCTTGGGTGTCTCCTTGATGAAGGCCAGGGCCAGCATCTCTTCAGCCTGCAATTTCATTTATGTGGCTTTCTTCACTCTGAATTTCTTCATCCAGTGCTAGTCACATAAAACCTGCAACACAGTTTCACCTCCTGGTGCATTTTTTTTCAGGTACAGAAACATTATTCCATAGTGTGAAGTTATTTTTCCTGCTCCACAAAATTGAATCATTCTTGTCCTATCACGAGTAACAATTTTAGAAGGACTTGTTTAAGTTCCACGTTTATGAAAGATATGCAAACCAGAAATGCGAGGTACCATTATTATTTTTTACAGATCTTGTGCTGATGGCAGAAAGTTGCAAAGTATGGATTTTTGTTAAATAGAAAAATAAAATTAAAAATATATTTTAGAAAACACTATGCGATGGAGAATTGTGCAAAACTGATTCTGATGTCTTGACTTTGGAAAAATTCTGCACAGAGAAGTGCAGCGCAAGTTAGCACAGGGTGACATCACATTTTGGTGTGGCTCCACCCAGTACAATCACACTTGGTGAAGCTGAGTTGTATCAGTCTGAGCAGCTCTGTGTGAGTGTACTCTGGTGTTGCAGTGTCAGCTGTTGCAGGCTGGCATCATACTTTCTCATGGAGTCACATCTATAAACCTTGGGGGTTTCGGTTATGAGTTCTGCTTTGACTCCAACAGAGAACTAGCTCAGATGGAGACATCAGCACTGCAAACATCTGAAGTTAGATAATGCAAATTTCAGTGCTGATGCTGTAAAGATGGAAGAAAAATGCTCTTAGGTGATGTTCAGCAGGGGTTTTTCTTACCGTTCTTCAAAAAATTTCTAGGAAGCTTATTAATATTTTCTCTCCAGTAGAGATGCATTAGTCTTTCAATCCCTGAAACAGAAAGGCATGCTTTTATGCAGCCATTTTCACGCAGCCTCTGTGCAAAATTCTTAGCAGTTTAAATAAATTATATTACTAAAATAAATTATTGCAAAATTTTTGCTATTGCTGCACAGGCAGTTCAGTTCTCTGCTCACTTTTCCCAGACTGGACATATAGTTTCACTGCCACACTTACTCTTCCAGTAGAACAAGTAGATCCTTTGGTGTACCTAGAAAATTTAATGAATCCTTGTCTAAAATAAGTTGGGTGATTCATTCCCTAAACCTACCTGTTATTCTACATTGTCCACCAAGGGAAGCCCTGGGTGACACATCTTAGTTATCAACATCTGCATTACATATGTAAAAGTGAAATGAGATTAATTTTTCTGATGGTGCCTGCAATTGCTTCAGACATTTCAAAGAGGGTGGGATCAAACTAGATATCAGGAAGAAATTCTTTGCTGTGAGGGTAGCGAGGTACTGGAACAGGTTGCGCAGGGAAGTGGATGCCCCTGGAAGTGTTCAAGGCCAAGTTGGATGGGGCTTTGAGCAACCTGCTCCAGTGGAAGGTGTCCATGGTAGGGGGTTTGGAACTAGATGATCTTTAAGGCCCCTTCCTTAATTCTATGATCCTATGATTCTGTGTTATATGTTGCAAATACTAAGTTAAAAAAAAAATCAAATTATTATGATTAAACTGAGCTTATTGCTTAAGATGTCTTTTCATAATTGCACACAGAATGAAATCACTAGTAAGAGATACTCTGTTGGCCAAATGACAAAAAGGTTCCTGTGCTTGCAGTTAGCTGTAAGTGTATAAAAGCTCAGTGCATGTCTTCCACCACAGGTGGCCTGGCTGTTGCACAGACTCAAACCTGCAATCAAAGACAGTTGTGCAATTTAGAGCTTTTTGAAAACAGAGAGGGAGGGGCAGTATTAAACTACCCCATATTTGTGAAAAGGGAACCAAGTAGATTCTGGTCTAATGAAGGACTACTGATCCATATTTAAAAAAAAAAAACAAAAACACAAAAAACCAAAAACTTCAGTTATGAAAAACCGATACTGCCAGTACCTTGTTGGATGTTATGATCAGCTCCACTTACGCATAACTCTGTGTGAAAGCTTTGCCTTCCAGTCCCCAAAACAGCCAGATCACTTTTTTTATCATCCAAAAATATGCTCCCTGTAGCAATTTATCTTAAAGCAACTTTAAGAAATTAGTCACAACCTCTGTTTAAAGGTTTTATTTTTGAAATGCTGACACCAGCTTAGCTCTAGCATTGTCTAGAGGGAACACTGCTACAGAGAGACTTAAATGATGCTGTCATGTAGCGTAGAATAAATTATTTCAATTGTAAACCAGCTAATTATACATTAAATCTGGTACCTACTCCTCCTTTTTATAAGAAAGCTTTTTGCTTGCTCTGGGTGCAATATAGCAGTGTGTCTAAAGCCACATAAAGAGCCATTTTGGTTTTGTCATATCAGTATCGCTCAGTGTCTCAATTTAAGATTTGTATTTCTGTTCATGTGATAGCCTCATGTTTTCTTTTCACTTCATTTTCAGAGTTTTGAAATTTTGAATGTACACGTTGACAAATACCCCAGAGGTCAAATCCCAATTTATTAATGTCTGAAATCTCATTATGTTTGAATAAATCTCATTAGTTTATGACCTAAATGGTGATTTTTTTTTATGCTTAGGCTTATTAAAATTGATAATAATATAACCAATGTAAATCCCTTCTTTATATAAATGAGCAATTAGAAACAATGTAAGCAATTACAATTTATATAAATATTTTTCCATTACTTTTCAGATAAATATGATGAAATTTTCCCTGTGGAAGGCTCATTATAAATCCATCACAATCAGATGTCTCTGCAGAAACAACCAGCATAAAGAGACAGCCTGGCTTTCCTCAATCAAGTCAAAAAGGAATGAATATGCTTCACCTCTGAGACACTCTAAATGAATACAAAAATAACATAATTTTAAACTGAACTCTGGATATACCTATGTACTCTTGAGAGAAATACGGGTTTCAGTGTTGTCTCCCTGAGAATTCTTTTAGCTTTGACTACACGCCTTGTAAATAGGTTCACATAAAAAAGGATGCATCTTTGCTTACTCTGTGTAAACAAAACTAGTCCATGTGGTTGACAACAGTTTCGCTTATATGTGTGTAAGATTTCTATTGACTGACAGCTTTGTTTCCAAGTGCCACAGAAAGACTGGGAAAGCTGTCCGTTTGTCTTGTTTAGTAAGGCAATCTTAGAGACTTTTAGGATCAGAAATAGTTTTCTTGCTTTGTATTGGTGACTGTAAATCAATATTGATACAAAATACAACTACTGCCATAGTGAAAAATAAGGAAAGTGTAAGCAAGCCTTTTCATTTTCAGGAACACAACCACAAAACATCTCAAGCAGCAGTTTCCATGTACTTTTTAATTATCCAAATGCAGGGATTGACACCAGTTTTTAGAACACTGAAAAAATAACATCAATAAGAAAAAAAGCAGGATTACCCAACTGTCTTTCTTTAGTCCCTCTTCAAAGATCAACTGTAACTAGTTTAGATTAGGTTGAATAATATCATATATTTAGTAAATTAGGTACACATAAATACTGAAGGTAACTACAACTGAGCTAAAGGTATTTATAAGTAATCTTCATAGATAAAGACAAAACATTTATGTTGTAATTGTAAATTAAATTCATTATTACATTCAGTGCATTATACTCATTAATCAGATGCATATTAAAAAGTATGTAAGCATGACAGTCATTGCCTAACAAAGAGGAATTGACATTAATAACAGAAGAGGGCTTCGATAGATATACAACAATTTGGTTAGTTAAAAATTGGTTCAGGCAAAGACGGTAACAGTTTCTACTCCAGAAGTAAACAATATTCTCAATTTCAAAAGGACAAGCTTTTAAAAACCAGAGAACTTACCTGTGAAGTAAGGGACCAAGGAATTCAAATATTAAGGATAATATAATTAAGTGAAAAGGATGAAAGTATATGGACTTTGTGTCTCAAGAAAGCAGAAAAAGTTCTACTAAAGAGAACTAGTTGAATAAATAACCACAAGCAAAACCCAAAACATTTGCAAAATGGCAAAGAGGATTAAGCACAAAGGAAATGTTATCTGAGAGATAAAGAAAACAAAGGATAAAGTAGGAAGTGTCAAAAGCCAAGCTGAATTAGACTTCCAAAAAGATACGAAAAGCAAAAAAACAAAAAAGATTCTTCATCCCCATAAACAAAAGACAATAAAGAAAAGGACTGTAGTGGTATGGAATACAAAATGAGGAGAAATAGAAGGTAATCTTGGCAAATTATAAATTGCACTTCACTATTGATCTGAAATTAATACTTTGTCTCAGTTTTTCACAAGTGCAATGACTGATCATGGGAGCAAAGACAGTTTAGATAATGGCAGGACTGTGTAGCACAGCATCATTAAGAATAAAGACAGAACGGAACTCCTCAGAAAAATGAATGCAAGACCCTGCATCTTCTCCACACCATTGCTGAAAGGAACTAGCACATGAGCTCATGGATCTACTGCCTGGTAAATGGAGAGAAGCAAATTTCACGGCCATCACCAAACAGGTGGTTTATTCCAGCAATGGAGTTTTTATACCCCATCACTATGACATCAAGGCCTGCAAAACACACATAAACTAGCAGCAAGTACAATTTAGGCCGAAATTGAAATTCCTAGCTTTTTTATTTAATTCACCTTTTCCAAATGTAATCAAGTGATTATTCCATTTGCCAAATATTTGCTGCTGGATCTGTAAGCTATACTTTGAGAAGTTTGAGTAATTACGTGGTTTTAAAAGACATACACTGTCCAAATATTAAGGATATGCTACTTATACTTTACAATTTCATACACAGAGAATTTTACAAGACTTACTTAATTGTCAGAGCTTCCTTTTTTTTTTTTTTTTTGTCAGCAAGTATCATTTGTCAGGAGGTAAATTGTGTGGCAGTACTACACTTACAACTGTCAATCAAAACTGAACTAACTGCAGAGGAAACCATAGTGGTACCCTGAACATATTTCACATGACAATTCTTCATATTTATTTTCCACATTTAATTTAGAAGGATATTTCCTGCTTCTGGGCAATAAATTAATTTATTCAGTAGGAAATAACTTGAAATCACTATTTTGAGTTAAAAATAGCTCCAGTTACTGAAAGATCGTTTCTACTTGTTACTATGACACAATTTAGAATTTCTATCATGTTGCAGAACAGCCCAGATGTGCTGAGAAATTCTGTTCTGTGACTTTTGACTCTCTGAACAGTGAAATTGGCTGCAGTTGCTGTCCTCTCCATAAGCAGAAACCTGAGAAGTGGGGCAAGTAAATCAAAATGGGAATGGAGGAGCATGGGTAGGTTGGCAACAGTAGAGATGATAGCTTTTTTTTCTAAAAGAAGGGAAAAAATGCCTTGCAAGTAATGCATTCTCTGTGCCTACACTGTTCTGCAGCAACTTGCTTTTCTGTTCTTTTTGTAACAATCATCACAACAATTTGGGAAGACAGCAGCACACTATAGTTTTTGCTTGTCACAGTCACATACCAGAGTTGCACAGAATTAGCATTAATATAACGTTTAAATAGATATTAACAAGGAATATTCTCCTTCACAAAGAGCAAGCATGACCTGTTACTGCCGGGTGGGTGGAGGGCTGGTATAGGCAGCTTTAATTCTGTATTTGAATCTTCATTTTTCTTGGCAATGCCAATCACATAAGTTGGCTGCTCTAAATGACTTTGCTGCCATAGCCTCCTATGGATCTTTCCAGCTGCTCAAAATAGCTGTTCAAAGTGAGGAAACCTCTGCACAAGGAGTATTCCACAGGGAGAAATTTCAAGAACTCTACAGCCCCTTTGTGCTATTGGGAAAGTGTAAAGAGACTGGATAAGAATACAGAATTCATCATTGTCCTTTCTGTACAATAAAACATTCATACTTTCTCATCTCTCTTTCTGGACTCGATTATTTGTTGACACCAAGCTTGCACTATTCAAGAATATGGGTGAGACCAAAGATTGCTTCACACTAACTCTGTGAGCTCTGTGCTTTGCAGCTGGATAAGCAAAGAAAAGGGGGAGCAGCTTTGGCATCATACAGGCTTACATCCTGTTTCTGACTTCCTCAAAACTCTGTTTTGGCATGCAGAAACTCTGGACCACTTTGACTGTTGGGTTTGCTACACACCTAACATTAAGGAAAAAAAAAAAGAAAGAAAAAGGCAAAATGGAGTTGATATAGTTGCAACAGGTTTTTTTACTACATAGAATTTCCTCCTGCACACCGGGGAATGTACCTGGCCAGCTATAGCCTGTTGTACCAGCAGATTACTACAAAGGATCATAAACAATATTTGGCCACGTGTCTCACAATCATATGGTGATACCTGAGCCTTCCTGTCTTCCCAAGCCATCCTTCCTCCAGATTCAAATGCTGATTGATGTTATTAAATCAATTTCAAAACTGCTCTAGTTAAATTAGTGCAATCCCTTTGAATGGACATTTTCAAACCTGCTGGTCCTTTAGCTCCTGACTTGCCCTTTATCTCTGGGTAATCTCAGTTGTAAACATGAATTCAGCAACCATCTTTTGAATGATGACTCACAGAACCTCCCTCTAATCCACAACAATCTCCTTCTGTCCTTCCTGAAACCTCAGCCTGTCTCTCAGACAATACTTTGTTATTGTCTAGTTGTCAGTCAAGTTCAAAAAAGAGCTTTCAGTGTTTCGCTCCTTTCCCTCCTCCACCTGTTTTGTGTGTATCTGTCAGCAATCCAGTCTCCTGTGAAGAAAGGCCTGCAGCCTCCAGCGTTAGTATAAATCTCTTTTTGGGTGATCATACCCATACTGTCAGGCTTCAAATATACAACATCACCCTGCTATTTCTCTAACACATCAGACAAAGTGCTTGTGTTTGTTTTCAAATTCTTTCACTGTTTCATGTTATTCAGTGCTGAGATCGTTTCCCTCCTCATGTCAGCTGGTGATACTGCACTGTATTGGCCCTTGTTAAACTTTCAAGCTTCACAAGGCTTCATAGGTTATCCTTCATATAGAGAAGCTTCCTAGAAATAAAAAAGAATGTACTTCATTTTTTGAATCTTGTCCTCCTCTGAAATGTCTTAGAAATACTCTTATGGGCAACTGATGTGCCTTGAAACCAAGAGACACGGTGAATGGGTTAGGCCCACCCTGACTAGTGTCTCGTAGCAGGTGAGAAGACACCAAAGTCCTGAATTGCACATGTCAGAGAAAGCACGAGTTGAAGGGGGCAGACAAGAGCACAGTCAGACTTCAGGAAATGCTGAAATTTGTGAACACGTGGTCCAAGACACACAGTGAAACCACATCATAGCCAAAATCAGGAAGTCAGAGACTCCACTCAAGACAGTATCCAAGACAAGAAAAAGATACATCTGGCTGGAGCAATGTGACACAGATCACTTGCAAACAGAAACTAGGATCAAACACCTAACTGAAAACCAGAGACCAACATTAAATCAACAGAAGACAGGACTAGGAACTAGTATTGCACATCTAAAAACAAGGATAGGTGGACTGATATTAAAAATAAATGGGGAATATGGCTGGACAAAGTCCACAAACTCTCACCTGTAGTTTCTAAGCACTTTAAGCAGATCTAATCCATCGTGCCTACTGAAACTAGTGGTCCTCCACTCCCTATCCATTTCAAGTGCATGCCAAAGCACAGCCTCTTATTTATACCAACACATGCATTCATGTAGCTGGGACATGAAATGGCTTGGGAAACTGATGCAAGTTAAAGCTGATCGCAATTAAAAACTATTAGCCGTCATTAAAACTAAGTAGTTAAACCCGATGGAGTCCACTATACAGCCATGCAAGTGCTTGTGCCGGCACAACGAAGGAGGCAGCATGGAGGCAGCAACAAACGGCTGAGAAAGGAAGACCTTCTTTTTAGGGTAGTAACAACTCACACAAAGTTAATAAAAACCGGTAAAGCCCCAGCACTAGAGAACGTGGTTCTCTGCCAGCTATTAAGGCTGTGCTATGGATGCATACAAGCGGCGACTAGGCACCTAGGGCATGATTCACATCCAGCTGCCTTGGGAATGACTCACTGCCTCAGTCTCAGTGAGTCACTCCTTCGCTGTGGACAGAGCCCAGTGCCTATTATGCTGTCCGATACTGATACTATCTCACTGTCTCCTAGTAGGGACTCATTCATCTGTCTCCAGCCATCTGCTGCTGCCAGTCCCATGTAGTGTTAACTACCGCAGGCTCATCGGGGCGGATGGCATTTTCTCTTCTTCATTTAGTCGTTAGCGAAGGTTTCCTCGGGCTATGAAGTACTGCAACACTGGATTTATAATGTGTTATAATATCGCTGAAAAACGCTTTAAACGACTATAAACTTGTCTAGTTTGCAATAATTTCTTCTAAATATTAGGGGGGAAAAAAGTCGCAGGTAATCAAGCGTTGACCCAGGGACACAGACCCGCGGTCCCTCCCGTGTGCGCCTACCCAGGGACACAGACCCGCGGTCCCTCCCGTGTGCGCCTACAGTGGCACATGCCCTGCTCGGTCAGTCGCTCCTTGTGCCGCACACACGCATCCCAGCGGCTACTCGCTGCGCGGTCACATACGCTGGGCTCCGGGAAGGGGCCAGGGGAGCGGGAAGTGCGCCTGAACGCCTTTCCGAGCTCCTCCTTATGAGCGAGAAGGAGCGCCGGGTGCGGGGGCAGCGCTGCCGCCGCGGCCCGGGAAGAGCCGGAATTCTCGGACTCGCTCCTTGCGACGTGCCGAATGGTTTCGGGAGATGCTCCCCCACTGTCTCTCGGCCATGTTCTGCCCTGCTCCCTCTCGCACTCTCCCCTCTCCCCGGATGGCTCACTGCCGACCACAGGCCGAGCTTCCCACCCATCCTCGGGGGCGGCGCGGTCCCATGGCGGCGCGGCCGCCACACCCGCGGCCCCGGCTCCGGCGCCGCCGCCCGCGCTCCATCTCCCGCTCCCTGCGGGCGGGCGGGCGGGCTGCAGCGGGAGGGGCCGAGTGAACCGGCATATGGCTGGACGAGCGTCGCCGCCGGCCTATGGGAAGCAGGGAAGGGCGGACCCGAGCGGCAGCCGCCCAATGTGCAGCGCCACCCCGAGTGATGCGGGTACCTGCGGCGTATAAAGGCGGCTGCGTGCGCACTGGCCCCTCGCTTACACAGTATGGCCGGCGACATTAGCTAGCGCTCGCTCAACGCTCTTCTCTGTAACAGGGGAACACACGGACTACAAGGAACCGAACCGCATCGCCTGCCCGCACCCCCGCTCGGACTGTAACCCGCTCACACACGCTCACGCCGCATCCGCCGCCGCGCACTCTGGGTGGCTTTCGCCCGTTTGAAAAAAAAAAAAATATCCTTCCTTCTTCTACTTATCCTCTCTTTTTTTTTTTTCTTTTTAAATTAATATTAAGCAAATCCCCCAGAAGGTAAAACCCGCCCGGGACGGACTGGGACCCGGCGGCGGCAGCGCGGCCCGTGCAGCAGCAGCGAACGGTGGCGGCCGGGGGCGGCAGTTTGGTTGTCGTTTAATTTCTGTGGTTGTTGGTTGCCGAGTTGTCTCACCATGAAGGAGAGCGGTGCACACTTCTTCGAAGGGACCGAGAAGCTGTTGGAGGTGTGGTTCGCCCGGCAGCAGCCCGCGCAGCAGGAGCCGCACCAGAGCAAGGGGTCCGGCGACCTCCGCACCATACCCAGGTCCGCGAACGGCCGGCGCGGGGTGGGGTCGGGGCGGGGGGCAGCGCTGCCCCCGGGGGTGTGAGAGGGTCCCTGAATGGCCCGGGTGTGGTGGCGCTCGGGGGGGGGCGATGGCGGCCGCGCCAGGGGGAGGCAGGTTCCGGGGTGGCCGTCGGTGGGGGCTGGGCGCTGCCGGCCGCTTTCCCCGTCCCCCGGTGACAGTCCCGGCATCTGCCCGCTGGGGGTGACCTTCCGCCGTCCTCCAGAGACCCCCCGAGCAGGGAGCCTCCCCTCGTCCTGGCCGCCGGCGGGAGGCGGGGGTGCCGGGGACGGAAGCCATTCCGCGCCGCCACCTCGTGCAGCCCCGCGCGGTCCCTGCTGGCAACATGTGGCGGCGGCGGGGAGCGGAGAGCCGGGCGTGTGCTGCCGGCCGGGAGCGCCCGCGGGGCGAGGCGGGAGTGTCGCAGTGCTGCTCCCGGCCGGGGGCACGGCGGCGGCGCCCACCGCGCTGCGGCGGCGGCTGGCCCCGCTCGTACAGGCGGCGGCGGGATGAGAAAGCTCGGGAAAACCCTGCCTGCGCTGTACTGCGGGGAGCTGGGGCCCAGGAATCTCGTTCTCAGTTAATGAAAGCTGGGAAGGGCGATCCCTCTGATTAACGCGGCGAGGATTGATGGTTCCCTCACATGGCCGGTTTGGCGGCGACCTCCGGCGCTGCGTAGCCGGACAGGTCCGTACAGCGGCTGTCGCGGAGAGGAACAGGCGATAGACGGGGACCCTTCCCGTGTCTCCCTGTGGCGTGGGAAGCACCGGAGTGAGGGAGGCGCTGGGAACGGGGGTGTCCCCTCCTCTCCAGAAGTGTGGCTGGAGCCGCGGTTTACACGTGAGTCCCCTGGCCGCGCTCCCGGGCCGCGCGGCCGCTCCCGTGGCTCTCCCCATTGAGGATCGAGGCCAATGGGAGCGGGGAGCCGCGGAGGGCCGGGCCCGCGCCCGTCACCCAATGGGCATCTGGGGAATGCGCTGGCGCCTCGCTCGCCGCCGCCTGGGGCGGGGAGGGAAGGCCCGGGGCCCGCTCCGCTCTGGACGCACGTGTTCGGGACCGGCTCCCGCCGCTCCCCGCCCGCCGCCCAGGAATGTGCCCGCGCCGCCTTTGTTAGCGCAGGAGCCGATGGCCACCTGCCGGCACGCGGGTCGCTTTTGGAACCCTGGCGGGCCAGGCGGGCAAGAGATGTCTTTGCTGTATTTTGTAGGGGGACAGTCTGGGAAGGCTGAAACTAGATGACCTTTAAGCTCCCTTCCAACCCCAGGCCATTCTGTGATTCTGTGGAATACCCAGACTTGCGACTTAGGGGGTCCAGCTGTAGATGTACAGAACATTGCGTTCTGGAAATGTCAGAAAATGGTAGCTGAGAGCTTGAAGTGCAAAGCAAAATCCGCAGAACTATGCATGAGGTTGCAGGGACAAGAATGGTATGTCGATTCTATTAACTAACGTAGTTGGAAAAAGCAGGCTTGTCCTAAGCAAATAGGGCAAATCTGAAGGTTATACTTTTGTCTGTAGTTGACTTTCACTATGGTTAATTGTTCAGCTTTTCAGTTTTGAATGGTAACTGGAAGATCTGGTGTTCTCAAGTGTATCCAGATCTGCTTGTGCATAAGACTGTAACCCAGTGGTCTTCAGTCAGGGAGCTTGAGCAAGAGAGCTTGGAAAAGAGGTTGTCGTGGTGTATTTAGTGGTTAGAATATGTTACTGATGATAGCATCACCATTCAAAGGCGTATGCTATTTGTCTTTTCCTTCGTTTTGGTATTCTTCAGCAAATTTCCTCTGTGTGTATATCAGTAGGGTTAGCTATTCAAAAATCTGAGTTGCCAGTGGGCAGGTAACTGCCTTTTCGTAAAACCGTGAATAGTTCATGGGTAGTGGAACCTTCATTTCTGCCATACCAGAGGCACTGCAGAATACGTTTACCTCTGACGTGTTGGTGTAACGAGGTACCTTGCTCATGTAAATTTGACTTTGTGAAGCTGTTTAGACCTTTTGAAATAATATGCTTAACGTGGAAATCATCAAATGTGGTTATATAGTTCTTTGACACTTAGTGGTGTAGCAGACACAGGGTAACAGCTTGTATAGGTAATGTCCAGTCAATCCTGGAAGACTGTTGAAATTCCTAGCTGAAGTACTTGCAGGTCTAAGCTGTGTAGGTGTCAGAGGATTCCTGTAGTATTTGACGTTAAATGTGAAAGATTCCCAAAGTGCTCATTTGACTGTGTTAATATGCTGGTGTTCAAATATGCAGATGTAGTTTGCAGACGGCATTCTGCAAATGCTTTCCTCGCTGACACAGTCATGCTCTCTGGTGTTCCGTTTTCCAGCTCAGACTCGAGTTTGCAAAACTGCAAACTTAACTTTTAGACTTCTCAAGAGCATTTAGTGTAATTGCAGTGTAGGTACTGGGACAGTCCCTTTGTGTTGTTTAGTTATGGCTGTAAAGTTTTAATGGAGTAGATACAAACTGTTAACTGTTGAACATGTGGTATTTAACACAGTTTCAGAGCTGTGAGCAAGCTTTGAAGATCTTTGTGTTAATTGGCTCTTAATACAAGATGTTAATTGAAGTTGCGTACTTTCTTTGGTAGGAAGCTGTGGCATGTCTGAAAATTACTGTTAACCTGTGTCCAACAGTAATTATCAGTGATACTGTGTTTCTAACATGAAGTTTTACAAACGTTCACTTTTGGAAAACTGTTGTAATTAAATTACCTACTGCAGTTGATAGATACAGACGAAAAAACACCTGAATGCAATATCTCCTACTACTGCTAATTCTTTAGAGGTGATTGAATAAACTAGTTTATGTTGAACAGAACTTGAAATCAAAGCTGAAACTGTAGAACAATAGCTAAATTAGAATCAAGTTGCAAACCAGTTGAGTTTGCCTTTTGTATTGTAATACCTGCTTAGTAGTGAAATGTGAACCATTCATCTACTGAATGACTAAGCTGGTGTTCAAAGCTAAAAATTTCCATGTTGCCGTGTGCTTTAGGGATTAGATATTTTAAAGTCTTTGCTGGATATCATCAGCAAAAAAAGTTCTTGAACTGATGCAATTAAGACTTTTTTTTTTCCCGCATATTTCCTCCTATGAGCAAGCTTGCTTTCTGGATAAAAGTTTGGATTAGGTGTAATGTATTTCAGAAAACATCTGTGACTACTGCTTTAATACATTCAGTAAAGGTCTCAACTAAAAAGTATTGAACATGGGCTTTACTTTGCTGTTAAGTTTTGGGGTATTTTTGTTGACTTTCTAATGAGTTCTGCAAAGAGATCTTGTGGTTGAAATAGTGGCAAGCGTATGAAGATACTTACCCTGCTTATATTCAGCAGTGGAATGAAGTTAATGCTTTTGTGGTCTCAAAATAATTGGCTTTAATTTTAGTGCTCGTTCTCACCATGCTTTGTAAGGCATGTTTTTTAAAAATAGCCTTAAACCATGTATAAAAACTGGAGGATTTGCTGAAAACATGATGAACTTGCTGCGAGCCCTGGATTTCCATGGTGATTTTGTAGTGCATTCACTATTCCCACAGTAGACTAAGCTGTTTATTCCTTCAGCTGTGCAACTATGCATTTTACATCTCAAGGGTTATCATGATCTTGAATGTACACAAGTTTGAAACCTTAAGTTAATGACGCAAGTAGTAAGAGCCCGTATGTCAAGCATTCAACCCTGAAGAATACTCTGAAATTATTTATGAACTTTTAATCTGCTTCCTATTTGTCTATATTATGTGAACACACAAGCTGGAAAAAACTGCAGCAATGAGCAATATGGAGTGACACTTGATACCACATTTTGATCCTGTGCTACAAGAAAGCTTCCAAGCACCCATATACATATAGTCAGGCATCTAAGTCCTGTAAATATTTGCTTTGTACCGCACCCTATAGCCTGAGTCAGCTTACTGCTGCAGTGCCGCTGCACCTCTACCCCTTCCCCCAGTCCTGAAGACCACAACAGAGTTATCTACCTGTTTTCTCAAACAGTGAAGGTACAAGGAAGCTGGGTCATGAGCCCTGTTCTAACTCTTACTCCTGCAGTGCTTCGGAACAAAACTCAGTGGAGTCTGGAAAAGAAGGCAGGATTGTGCTAAGATAAGGGCTTCTGTCACTGTGTACTTGCTGAGCCTTTTTATGGGTGATACAAGGTTATCTAGAGAACTTTATGTAAGAATGCAGTCTTCCCCTCACCAAAATTGATGTTAATCAACTAGATTTCAGCTTTCAAGTTCAAAATTAAAAGTGTACTTGCTTGTAACTCACAATTGTAATTAAAGAATGGTTTCACACAAAGGGAATAAGCCCTTTTACACTCACTACTACTGATTCTGGTACTGTTTGCAGGCAGTGAAGACTTAAGTTGAAGACTTGATATTTTCCTACCTTACCACTGAAACTGCTAAAGAATTTGTTTAGTCACTTTCTGCCTGGTCCCTTAGTGGGACTCTGGAGAGCATCTTATTAAAATATGTGGGTTGTGGTGTATTCCCCAAAGGGCTTCCCTAATGGCTGTTTATGCAGCCAAGAGAATGGGAAGGTTTGAGGCTCATGGTGGAGTTGCTGCCTTACAGTATGTTCCTTCTGGAGAAGGTTACACTCAAAGTGGCCTTGAATGTTGCTTGTAATTCTTGCTGTGCCTGCTGGGGCTCATGCTTCTTAAATACCTTGGGTGTCATGTATGTTTTGTGCTTTGATGTGAAAGACTTGGGAATATCTATCAAATATCTTCAGATGTAAAGGATGGAGTCCCTATTCCATGTACTCTGCTGTAGCTGCAGTAATGATGTAAGGCCTTCAACAGGAGAAATATGGAGCCTTTGAAGCACTGTCTGTGGTTATCTTTGTGCCATTGCTGAAATATCTTGGTTTGATTTGGAAATGATGCTCTAAGTAGTTGGCTTGGGATCTTCTAGGTAAGAAGTATTTTGTGAGGAGTACTGCGTAGAATCACTTCTAATGTG